TCGAGCCCAGGAGTTTGAGGTTGATGTGAGCTAGGCTGACGCCACGGCACTCACTCTAGCCTGGGCAACAAAGCGAAAAAAAAAAAAAAATGAATTTCAGGATACATTCCAAACCTCTACTGGAGAGTTCAGTGTCAATGATATTAAGCTCAACATTAAACAGTATCATACAAAAATGACCCTCTGTCATCATGCCTGGGCTATTTCTAAAAAAAGTTTAATAAGCACGCATCTCAGTCTTGTTTTCACCTGGAACGGCAGGCTTTTAGTACAAGGAAAATTATACTTCCTTTCTTTTTGAATGTGAACATGGTCAATACTCCTGCCACACTTTTAAAGTTTTCTTGCACGCAGTGAGGGGCTCAAGCACATCATTCTAAAACCAACCACTGGCTTTAAAGACTGCCATGTATGTGGTGGGGAGTGGGTAATAAAAGCTGAGATGGAAACAGATGGCAGTGGTGGTGTTAACTGCTGAAACTTGATAATGAATGTAATACATTTGTTACATTATTGTTTCCTTTGTATTTTAAATCTTCCACCATAAAAAGTCTTAAAATGCTTTTTAAAATAGAACAATGCTGGAGGAGATGTGCCAAAGAAAAAACGATTTTGTTTTTTCTTGTTTTTAGAGACCAGGATCTAACTCTATTGCCCACGCTAGGGTGCAGTGGTTCGATCACAGCTCACTGTAACCTTGAACTCCTGGGCTGAAGCAAGTGATCTTCCCACCTCAGACTCCTGAGTAGCTAGGGCTACAGGTGTGTGCCACTCACCTGGCTAATTATTTTAATTTTTACATTGATGAGGTCTTGCTGTGTTGCCCAGCCTGGCTTCAAACTCCTTGCCTCCAGCGATCCTCCTGCTCAGCCTAAAAACAGTATTTTAAATCAAGGTATTTTGACTGGTATAAGGCTGGTGACAAGGCCAAGTGTGGTGCCTCATGCCTGCAATCCTAGCACTCTGGGAGGATTGCTTGAGGTCAGGAGTTCGGGCTGGCCTGAGCAAGAGGAAGACCCCTCTCTATCAAAATTAGAAAAACTTAGCCAGGCATGGTGGTGTGCGCCTGTAGTCCCAGCTACTCCAGGGGCTGAAGCAGAAGGATCGCTTGAACTTAGGAGTTTGAGGTTACAGTGAGCTGTGATGACACCACTGCACTTATACACGGTGACAGAGCGAGATTCTGTGTCTAAATAAATAAATAAAGTCACTTCTGGACCCAGTAAAGCTATTTTTTCACATTCACATAAACATGTAAATATTCTCTGCATTCTCATGACCATGTTCAGGGGCTGGCATGGTGCCTGGCACATCACAGGAGAAAGCAAGCCAACAATTTAAAATTTATTTTTCTACCTGTTTCTATCTCTGTATTACGAAGACAAGAGTGTTTCCTTAAACAAAATAAAGAAATTTATAAGAGCAGGAAAAAAAATAAAAACACATTAGTCTTGGCCAGGCGTGGTGGCTCACGCCTGTAATCCTAGCACTCTGGGAGGCCGAGGCGGGCGGATTGCTCGAGGTCAGGAGTTTGAACCAGCCTGAGAGAGACCCTGTCTCTACTAAAAATATAAAGAAATTAATTTACCAACTAAAAATATATATACAGAAAATTAGCCGGGCATGGTGGCGCATGCCTGTAGTCCCAGCTACTCGGGAGGCTGAGGCAATAGGATCCCTTGAGCCCAGGAGATTGAGGTTGCTGTGAGCTAGGCTGACACCACGGCACTCACTCTAGCCTGGGCAACAAAGTGAGACTCTTGTCTAAAAAAAAAAAAATTAGTCTTAAGGAGAGCCAAGTTCAGCATCATCACAAAACTCCAAGGTACTGTCCTATTCCTAAGAGGTGTACCCATTGATTCCCAAGAATTTCTCTTTTAGTGAAAGACAGACAAAAGCCTCAGTCCTTGGCAGCCATATCAGAACCCCTTTTCCCCCCACCCCCACCCCCTCACCACTCCTCTGCAGTGCTGGAACATCCATCTGCAATGACTGATTCACACAAGAGATGCTGTAGAGTGCAGTGACAAACCACAGAATCTGGGACCAAGTTTCTGGGTTTAGTGCCACTTTGTAGCTGTGTGCCCTTGGGCAAGGTACTGCTGTCTTTAGTTTTGAACTTTGTAAAATAAGGGCAATAGGCCGGGTGTGGTGGCTCACGCCTGTAATCCTAGCTCTCTGGGAGGCCGAGGCGGGCGGATTGCTTGAGGTCAGGAGTTCGAAACCAGCCTGAGCAAGAGCGAGACCCCGTCTCTACTATAAATAGAAAGAAATTAATTGGCCAACTAATATATATAGAAAAAATTAGCCGGGCATGGTGGCGCATGCCTGTAGTCCCAGCTACTTGGGAGGCTGAGGCAGAAGGATTGCTTGAGCCAGGAGATTGAAGTTGCTGTGAGCTAGGCTGACGCCATGGCACTCACTCTAGCCTAGGCAACAAAGCGAGACTCTGTCCCCCCCAAAAAAATAAATAAATAAAATAAGGGCAATAATAGTACCCACTTTGGTACATGGCTCCAGGTACTACATCAATGAGACCCATTATTTTCTATCTGATCATGAGCTACCTGAATGTGGGAACATCCTCACACACAGTTCCTGGTACACAACAGACTCTCAGCAATGGTTGTAGAACAAGCACAGGTTCTTGAGAGGGCATGTGATTTCACGACTTGAAGCAAAATGTTCATTTATTATGGAGCTGCATGGAATTGCCAAGTGTCTCCTAGGTGCTAAATCCAACACAGAAGTTGGCCAGAGAGTATAGATTTTAGACTTTGCAGGCTATACAAGGTCTCTGTTGCATAGTTTCTTTTTTAAAAACAACCTTTTTAAAAATATAAAAACCACTCTTAGCTCATGGCCAAACAAAACTGGCCGCAGGAAATCTAGCTCACATAGTTCTATCTACTGTTGACAATTCATATGTCCCTCACTTTATTGAGAAACTAGTTGCTTTGTGCTCTGGCAACAGACACCACCTAAAAGATCATCAATACTTAAGGGATATGGATTCCAATTTCTTCACCTGAGGAGATGCTAAATGGGCCAGGCATGTGACATGACCATGCCCAAAGATCACAGAGTAAAGCTAGGATAACCAGCTCAACCCAACTGAGTACTCCATTGTGGGCCAGGAGAAAACACATGAGCCTTACAGATGCTAGCTGTGTTCCAAGTGTCTTTCATGTACTAAACCATTTAATCCTTAATGCAGAGCGCTCTTCTACAACCCTGTGCTTTAATAAGATGCCAAGCCTCCATACTTCAAAATGCTCCCTTTTCACATCTTGTATCCTTTAAACCACACAACCACCATGGATGAGGAATATTCTAATGCGCATTTTACAGATGGGAAAACAGCTTCACTCTCACCTTTTCTGATCCCCTCTCCAAGCTGAGAGATTAAGAATACAGAAACTGAGGTAAGACATACATGGGTTAATCAAAACTGCCATTATCAGCTGTGTGACCTCAGAGAGGCCACACCACATCCTGGACCATTATTTTCTTCATCTTTTAAATGGGATCAACGTTCCCGACATTGCCCCCAGACTAGGCCACTATAAAAATCTAGGACTACGCGGGACGTGGTGGCTCACACCTGTAATCCTAGCACTCTGGAAGGCCGAGGTGGGCGGATGCTGGAGGTCAGGAGTTCGAAACCAGCCTGAGCGAGACCCCACCTCTACTAAAAATAGAAAGAAATTAATTGACCAACTAAAAATATATATACAAAAAATTAGCTGGGCATGGTGGCGTATGCCTGTAGTCCCAGCTACTCGCGAGGCTGAGGCAGAAGGATCGCTTGAGCCCAGGAGATTGAGGTTGCTGTGAGCTAGGCTGATGCCGCGGCACTCACTCTAGCCTGGGCAACAGATTGAGACTGTCTCAAAAAGAAAAAAAAATCTAGGGCTAAAACATGGTTTCCTTATTTAAAAAAAATCAATGTGTACAGCCGGATGACCGTAGAGATTACACATGCGTGTCACTGAAAAGCCTGCTGGCCCTATGGCCATCCATGCGAATAAAGCTCACTTATCATGAGGCCCCAGGTTTGAATCCCAGCTCAGCCCTCTTACCAGCTGTGACCTTGACCAGGTCAGTTCACCTTTCTAAGCCTATTCGACATACACGAACCAAACCTTAGGTGGTGCCGGGTACCGTCTTAGGCATTCGCTTCTCCTAGAGTTTAATTTGACCTTCAATTTCGAGAGGAAGGACAGAAGCTCTGCGTAGGGTCCAAACGCAAAGCGCCTGGTTCGCGGCAAGCAGGGAGGAAGCTATTCCTCAGCAGAGAGGGAAAGTGTCTAAGGCAGTGCATTCCTAGGCGCGTACCGCAGCTGTCCTTTGCCCTCACTCTCCACGCCGAAACCAGGCGGCGAGGGCCCTGGGCAGCAGGAAGCCACGGATGGGAGAGCGGAGGGTCAGACAGGGTAGGACCCCTGGAGTAAGGGCCGGGCGTGTCTCAAGGGAAGCAGCGGCAAAGTCCCTGAGCGAAAGGCAGGCGGCTCTGCAGCTCCTTCCCCTCCCAGTACGGCTCTGGGCCCTGGACCCCGGACCTTGCTTCCACCGCTGCGTCCAAAACGCCCTACTTAGGGCCCGACACTCACCGGCTGACGCCATCTTGAAGCCCTGATGTCGGCTGTGCCGCGCCGCGTGAGGGCTGCTGGGTAGGGAGACACGCCCCGAGGGCGTGGAAGCGGAGGCTCACGGGAAGCAGGTCATGACTGCCAAGAGTTGGGGCTTCCAGAGTGCTATGAAGGGCGAAAACCCTGGAGGGCAAAAACCCGGAGTACTGCAGTGAGAGAGAGGCGCCTCAGCCTGGGATCCCTATGGCAAACCAATGTATGCCTCCCACGTATTGATTTATGACTTTACCTGTAACCCCTGTCTCCCTGAAATGTATAAAAACCAAACTAACCCCAACCACAGCGAGTCCACTTGCTCAAGGCTTCTTGGACGTGGCTTCGGGTCATGATCCTCAAATTTGGCTCAGACTAAATCTCTTTAAACTTATTTTACAGACTTAACACTACTTGATTTTTATTTATTCCCTCCCACCCCAATGCCGTGTACTGCTGCCTGTATTCCAGCTTCTTCTGCAGTCTTGCCCCCTTTGGCCTGAGCCCTGGGATATATACATTTGTCTTACATTGTAGAAATGATGGCTTCCTTAAGTTCAGTAAGTCCTGCGGGTTTTGTATTTTTTATTTATTCTCTTTTATGTATTTATTTTTTATTTCTTTTTATGTTTTTTGTTTGTTTTTTGCTGCCGGTTTTTTAATCATAGATTTCATTCCTGCTGATGTACTGGGTGTTCAAGGAAGCTTCTTAGGCAAACTTTTGCTTTTCCTTTTCCTTTTTGTTTTAAACTGTACTTTCTTTGTTAGGTCTTGTGCTGCTTTCTTTTGAAATAATTTGTGTTCATATTAGGTGAATTCTTTTGAAACAGCTTCATTGCAGGAGATATATTATCCCTATTTGGGAAAAAAAATGAATTATTTGACATATCAAAACTGTGCTATTCAGCGTGGTAACCATGAGTTACTTTTTGTGGCTGTTTAAATCTAAATAGGAATTAAGTAATATTTAAAATTTGGTAACTCATTTGCATTAAGCTACCTTTCAAAACACTATATAGTTATAACTTTATATAATTTACATAGATTAATAAAACAAATTTGCCCGTTGCTAAGTCTTGCCCCATGCAGATGTCAATACTCCTGCAGTGTTTCCTGCCATGTTAGCAGTAGGAATTGTTTTTTTTTTTTTTTTTTTTTTTTGAGACAGAGTCTCACTTTGTTGCCCAGGCTAGAGTGAGTGCCGTGGCGTCAGCCTAACTCACAGCAACCTCAAACTCCTGGGCTCGAGTGATCCTTCTGCCTCAGCCTCCCGGGTAGCTGGGACTACAGGCATGCGCCACCATGCCCGGCTAATTTTTTATATATATATCAGTTGGCCAGTTAATTTCTTTCTATTTATAGTAGAGACGGGGTCTCGCTCTTGCTCAGGCTGGTTTTGAACTCCTGACCTTGAGCAATCCGCCCGCCTGGGCCTCCCAAGAGCTAGGATTACAGGCGTGAGCCACAGCGCCCGGCTAGTAGGAATTGTTTTAAAACAACAAACACTAATGATGGCAATGGTGATGGCCTGGTCTTTCTGGGGTCAGGGCGCCTTTTCTTGGTACACTGCAGTGCTCATCTAGATCCCCTTCAGAAAAGAAGGACTTTACTCACGTTGCTGGGACAGCATTGACAGGCAGTCCTCAGGTGTCACCCTCTTCCCAAACTGCCTCCACTGAGAAGGGCCACTGCCCAGAGCTGTGCCCTTCTTTCAGCCACTCATGTCCAAGCTCAGGGTGCAAAAAACAGTACTCCAGTTGCCCCCTACTCACGGCAACTCTGAACAGCCTTCCCAGCTTCAGAAAAGCTGGTGAGGTTGGTGGAGGCCTTCCCTGGAATGGCAGGGTGGCCCAGGTTCTCCCTCTTCCTGGTCCTGTGTTCCCCTTTTCCTGTCTACAGGTGATGACTGCGTGTGCGTCCCCAGTAAATCTCCTGCACATAACTATATATCTCACAGGCTGCTCAACCTATGGCCCAACTTATGGCAGTCGGTGCCAAAGTGGTCTGGGAAAGCAGGGATGCTATTTTGATGCTCAATCACTGACCATCTGGCCATCCAAGAGGAGCCCCCCTACATACACACTGGTGGTAGGTGGAGCATGGATGTCCTCTGGCATAGGCTTAACCTTCACTGGTGGTCAACTGCAGCAGCCTACAGGTGCAAGGGAGTGCCTAGTTGGCATCTGATAAATTTCAGGGAATTAGTCATTGCAAAGACAGTGGCAATTGCAGTGGCTATAGCTAAGCTGAGAGTAATTAATCAGCAATTAAGAGCTAATTGAGAATGCCAGGGCTCTCCTTGGTAGCACATAAAGTAGCTCTTATCACCTGTAGCTAAAGGGCAGAGAAAACTGAGGGCCAGACCCAGGACTTGTTCATGAGTAACAGCCAAAGAAGGGCAAACTCTCAATCGAGGGAGTCCTGCTATGCCAAAGTCAGTGTGCTGGTGGGGAAACAATAGGATCCGACACATAGGGCGGGGATATCTAGGTGGATGTACCCCCAAATCCTGGACCCTAATTTTCCCTGTACCCTCTGACCCTGCTTAATTGGCCCCCTCTTCCCTATTAAGAACTAACTCTCCTCCCTTGCTTAAAGACCATGCTGAGGCTACTTCCCTGCAAAGTTCACATCACCCCTCCATATTTTTCCTACCTTCCAGCCTGGCCAGTAGGCTAATAGTTAGGGTTAAGTCACAATGTAACCCAGGTAGGCATGAGCTAGCAAGAAAAAGGAGGAAGGGTGCTCGCTTCGGCAGCACATATACTAAAATTGGAACGATACAGAGAAGATTAGCATGGCCCCTGCGCAAGGATGACACGCAAATTCGTGAAGCGTTCCATATAAAAAAAAAAAAAAGAAAAAGGAGGAAGGGGACTATGCCCCAAGGAACAGCAGGATCTAGTCTACATGGACCAAGTGGAGCTGGGAAAGTCCTAGTGGGACTGGATTCTGCCAAGGGCTGAGCAAAGCAAAGTTAGAAAATGGAGTTCATTGATTTGGGAGCACTAACCTGGGATATGGGATTAACTATCCTGAAAAGAACCCCAGGGGATGGTGCAAACCTATAGCTAGGATGGCATCTAGAAACATGGGAACAGTAATGGCCCAAACCAAGCAGGGAAAAAAGACTTAAATTGCCACAGCAGATGTTGGAAGAAGGAATTAAAAGTTTCAGCCATGTGGATGTGCTTACTTAAATAATGCTTCATAAGGCCAGAAAAGCTGCCAGAGGACAATGTTCCATGGAGGTCCCAGAGGATAGGCCATTTAGCCACACAGCAAGGAGCAAGGCATGGAAAGGCACCAGCATCATTATGTGTGTCAGGGTGGCTGTCTTCTGGGTACCAAGGCAGCCTTCAGAGATGCCTTTGCACAGTAGTGCTCACAAGTAACAATGGGGATTAGAGGTCCCTGACCCATTGAGGCCAAGTGGCAGCCTGAGCCAGGTGGGTACAATAATCACATGGATGGAAGACAGCATCGGCCAAGTGCATCTGACCTTCTTTGGGGGCAAACTTCTTTTTCTTTTTTTGAGACAGAGTCTCACTTTGTTGCCCAGGCTAGAGTGAGTGCCATGGCGTCAGCCTAGCTCACAGCAACCTCAAACTCCTGGGCTCAAGTGATCCTCCTGCCTCTGCCTCCCGAGTAGCTGGGACTACAGGCATGTGCCACCACGCCTGGCTAAATTTTTTTTGTATATATATTTTTAGTTGGTCAATTAATTTCTTTCTATTTTTTAGTAGAGACGGGGGTCTCACTCAGGGTGGTTTCGAACTCCTGACCTCGAGCAATCCGCCCGCCTCAGCCTCCCAGAGTGCTAGGATTCAAACTTCTTTTTTAACACATTGACTGCCACACTAGAAAAAAAAATTTTTCCCTGGGGCCACAGCGTTTTATTAAAACAAAACCATCCTTTCTAATTTGTTTTTATTGTTTTCTGTGCATGAATTAGATGCAACACAATCCATGTTTTTATAATTACATTGTCACTATTAATTGTAACAATAAGAACAACAACAAGTAAGATTGTCATTAACCAACTGCAGGATTTTGCTTCATGACACACCAGGCTCAAATGGCAGTCCAAGTCATATGTTAAAAAGGAGTGAAACCCTTTTACAATATAATATCTTTTGTTGTTGTTGTTGTTGTTGTTGTTGTAGACAGAGTCTCACTTTGTTGCCCAGGCTAGAGTAAGTGCCGTGGCGTCAGCCTAGCTCACAGCAACCTCAAACTCCTGGGCTCAAGCAATCCTCCTGCCTCAGCCTCCCAAGTAGCTGGGACTACAGGCATGCGCCACCATGCCTTGATAATTTATATATATATTAGTTGGCCAATTAATTTCTTTCTATTTATAGTAGAGACAGGGTCTCACTCTTGCTCAGGCTGGTTTCAAACTCCTGACCTCGAGCAATCCACCTGCCTCGACCTCCCAGAGTGCTAGGATTACAGGCGTGAGCCACTGCACCTGGCCAATATATCTTAAAAATGCATATTGTAAGACACACAAGTATGGAGCTGTTCTGATTCAAAGGGAGGGGGACTGGGTATCTGGGAGAGGGGCCCTGGGGCTGACAGCATGAGTGTTCTGCTCAAAGCATGAATGATATTATACAATAATGAGCCCTTACCCAGATCCTTTAGGAAATGGAAATCCTCCTGCCCTCAGCATTCACTTCCCTCCAGATACCTGGACAGATGGAAGGAGGCCTTTCACAGCTCAGAGGGGAGCCACAGGGTACTAAAAGAATGGATATGACCCTATGAAGGATGCACTGCTCCTGGAATATGCATGGTTTGAGTAAATGTGAATACTGCAGGTGGAGACAGATTTAGTCCTGGCAACTCCCACATGAAGAAATCATTAGTAACATCTACCCACTTTGGTGTAGAAGAAAGTACACTAACTGAAGCTGTGAGTGCAGACCAAGCATGCCTTTCTTTTTCTCCTTCTTTTGTGGATGATGATGTTTGTTAAGGCTCTAAGTTTTGTTCTGAGATTCGACCTACATTTTCCTCTCTGGCTTGTGCTACATGCAGTAAGAATGTGTCATGTCTGTTTCTTCAGTGTTTATCCAGCTCCTGGTCACCTGATGCCTCCATGACCATTTGGGTTTAGAAAAGGTCTGCATCTTTTTCAACACTGTAAAAGATTTGCTACAGGAAATATCTGTCATCTGTCCCTTCTGAGGCTTTCTCTTGTTACTCTGGTGTTCTGCACATATTCTACTACTGCCGATGGAACTTTCACACCCTCACGTCTATTAACCTCCCCAGCCAGAATTTCCTACCCTTCTGAGATTTCCCATAATATGTGTGTCATTGAGCTCTTGTGCTGTTCATTCTGGTTGAAACGTGCCCCAAAGTGTTAAAGAAACCAGTGACTGACAAATTCTTGAGCTTGCAGGATAGCAGATAAGAAAACAAACAATTTTCTGGAATGCTGAAGCTACTCCCTCAGCTTGTGAGATTTAAAAAAAGAAAAACAAAAAACCTGGCAGAAATCGATTGGAGTCAATACGGCCACCTGGCCACTGCTCAGAACAAACTTTGATGGCACAGCTTTATCTTCCACCGCTTGTTTCCTAACTCCCCCACAGTTTGCAAGTAGGATCCAGGAGCAAGCATGAAGAGAGAACTGCGCATGCCCAGGACTTCCCAGCCCTACCCTTTCCTAATCCTAGAACCCACCCCCAAACATTTTCTAATACAAATACTATCTTAAAGCCGACACAGAGAGACAGATTTGAGCCGGACTCCTGTCTTCTTGTAGGTGGATTTGCAATAAAGCTTTTCTTTTCTCAAACGCGGTGCCATAGCATTGGCTTCTAGAGCATTTGGTAGCGAGCCCCTTTCATTCGGTAGGTAACGTGGTAATGCCCCTCCTGGGGTCACTAATCCGTGAGCGATGGAATTTGGGTATATACTTCCAAACCCAATGTGGCTCCGCTTGGTGTTTCTCCGCTTTTTCTTTAGCTTCCCCAAGTGTAGAGAGAAAGTAGATGTGGAAGGCCTGAGACTCAGAAAAGGAGCTGTGGGTCAGAGTGGCCACCTCCGTAGAGCCTGCTTTAATGCGCTTCTGGAAGAAAGGGATAAACACAATCAGCAGGAGCTGGAGAGCCTCCTCTCGGCACCCAGACTCTTTCTGTCATGTATCAGGCCCTAATGACCCAGGCTTTCACCCCCACCCCTACATGCCTGCTCATCCCTAGCTGTGGCTTCGCGTCACAATCGTCACAAGTGGACGTGGTGCAAGTCGGCATCCCCACTTGACTAACAACTGGGGAAGTCATCCCGGGGCTGCGCCTGCCAGACTCCAGCCGCGGAGCGAGGGCCCCAACCTGCCAAGAGTCCTCGCCCTCCCCCATCCAGTCGGAGTCCTTGCCCACCGACTGTCCACCCACGGTCAAGTCAGATGTCCCAGTTTATTGGAGCTTAGGGACGATGACCTGTTCCAGAATCACACCGCCATCTGGAAGCGGACAGGCGGTGGAACCTGGTGTTCCCCAGCACCAGAGCGCAGACAGCAGCTGGGGTCGCAGAAGCCACCAAGGTGGCTGCTTTAAGTACTGGTCGTCTTTGGGACCTCGAGCTCTAGCTCACTACCCGGGCCTCGGACTCTGCCCCTCCGAAGCCTCGCCCCGTCACAGTTTCCATGGTGACGGTAGAGACGCCTCAACAAACACCTTCGAATTGCATTTGTTCATTAACCCTTTGTTTCCCACAGTGTGGCAAATGTTCTCCCCATTTGTCCTTTGTCAGCCTTAATTACAATGTTTTGTGGGTTTTCTTTTCTGGTTTGTTGATTGTTCTTTCTATTTGACTTTTGTTTTGGCAACAGTTGATTTTGTTTAGTTAGTTAAATTTGGAGTAATATTTACCAACTACAACAAAAGTGTCAGCTGGTTGTGCTGTATAAAAAAAAATGACGGGGAGAACACATACTTGAACAATGCTCTTTTGATGCCTCTTGCGGGCAATGTGGGAAATGAGCTGATTTAGGAATAAAGCTAGGAAGAAAATCTAGGAATGTAGGAAGGGAAAGCACCAACGCTCACAAGTCCAATCTTATTTCCTGAGGCTGTGCAGAATGTTATGGGATATTTTATTTTTTTCTTTCTTTTTCTTTTTTTTTTTGAGACAGAGTCTCGCTTTCTTGCCTAGGCTAGAGTGAATGCCGTGGTGTCAGCCTAGCTCACAGCAACCTCAAACTCCTGGGCTCAAGCGATCTTCCTGCCTCAGCCTCCCGAGTAGCTGGGACTACAGGCACGAGCCACCATGCCCGGCTGATATATATATATTAGTTAGCCAATTAATTTCTTTCTATCTTTATGGTAGAGACAGGGTCTCGCTCAGGCTGGTTTTGAACTCCTGACCTTGAGCAATCCGCCCGCCTCGGCCTCCCAGAGTGCTAGGATTACAGGCGTGAGCCACCACGCCCGGCGGGGATATTTTCTTGAAAAAATTACTCATGTTAACTACTATTGTTATAGGGGAACATTATCAAGAATGGCAAACCAGGTTTTAACTTGGAACTGTGAGCACTCTCTTGTCCCCCATGGGCTTCCCTTTAAGGAATCTGTGTGGAAGGCAAGAAGTCATGTCAATCTTTATTTTTATTTATTTATTTATTATTTATTTATTTATTTATTTGAAACAGAATCTGGCTCTGTTCCCCAGGTGAGAGTGCCATGGCGTCAGCCTAGCTCATAGCAACCTCAAACTCCTGGGCTCAAGCAATCCTTCTGCCTCAGCCTCCCAAGTAGCTGGGACTACAGGCATGTGCCACCATGCCCGGCTAATTTTTTCTATATACTTTTAGTTGGCCAATTAATTTCTTTCTATTTTTTTTAGTAGAGACAGGGTCTTCAGGCTGGTTGCCAACTCCTGACCTTGAGCGATGTGCCCCCCCCCAGCCTCCCAAAGTGTTAGGACTTCAGGCGTGAGCCACTGCGCTACATCAATTTTTAAATGCTAACAGAAATGCTGACCGGTTTCTTTCTGCGTGTCTCCCTCCACCCAAGGCACACCTAGCTTCTTCCCCTGCAAAATCTAAAGCCAACCGGACCCAAAATGGGCTGGAATTCCTATGTCCACATCCTACCACTGTAATCAATTAGCTCGCTATGAGTTTAGGTCCGACCTGCCACAGGCCCCCCTCTGTGAGTCCAGGGTGTGTCTTATTAATCTCGCTCTCCTTCATTCTCGCCTTTCATACGTAAGGAGGACAAGGAACTTGACTCCAGCGCTACGTGATGTTAGATGTGAAGTTAGTGTGGTTAACTGGGAACCAAGTAGAGCCCTCAGAACGATCCCTTCGCTCCGTTTTAACTCTTCTACAATCTACTCCAAATTTTAAAACAACCCCTCAGAGTAAGTCTTAGAGTCACAATTTGCCAAATAAGTGCTGCCCTCGCTCCATTCGTTTTACTACATTTCTTACTTTGGAGGTGCCATTATAGGGTTCATTCACGTTCATTCCCCTTCTCTGCCGTGACCAGGCAGGTGGAATCTCGCGACTGTTGAACTACCATAGGTGTGTGATATTACGCCGAGCATCTCCAGTGGGAATCGAAGATGACGCGTACAGTAGTGTGTTGCGGGAGTGTTCTTAAAGGTTTCCCGCGCCCTTGACTCTCTCTTCAAAGTTGACTTTAATTGTTCCTTAAGGCGAGTGTTGACCATCGATGGCCACTGTACGTATAATTTAGTCTCAGGTGGAGTTTACCACCGCCTTGGGCTGTGTCCCCAACCAACTGGACTCCAGGAAGGCCCTGCTCACGCGCTAGGGGCTGTTAACCCCTACCCTCCGGGGCTGGGCTTCCTTCGGCTGGGGCTGAGGCTGGGTCCCCACTGGAGGAGGAGGGGCCGGGCCTTCTGGGTGCACGTGCCCGGCCCTCCACCGAGCCACCGAGCGGGGATCCCGCGCCGGGTCCTTCCCAGTTCACCCGGGGAATCCTTGTAAGTTTCACTGGGTTGCTTTGTTTGGACTCAGCGGTGCCAAGTCCGGTTCGAGGGTCTGATCTAAGGTCCCTTCTGGGAAGGAAGGAGCGGGATGTGCGTAGGGGACCAGGAAGACCCGACCGCACTGAGTCTGGGCGACGGCCGCTCCCGGGGGCTGACCGCGCTGGTGGATTGGAGGCTGGGGACCGGGGAGCTGCGGGGACAGCTGCGGGGGGGGGGCGCACAGGAACACGCAGCGCGAGGCAGGAGGAGCCAGTGGCTCCCGTGCCGCCGCCCCCAGCCACTCCCGCACAGTCCGCTCGCCGGGACTCGAGCGCCGCCGGAGCCCACCATATGGACACCACCGGGAGTCTGGGAGGCCCGAGGGAGAGGCCAGAGGGAAGCGCCGCGATGACCCGTCACCCGGGGCTGAACAAAGGGCTGAGGGCAGGAGCTGTGCTCGCATGCATATAAATGCTAAGGTTTAGTTAATGACCGGGATGGGGTGAGAATGGGGGAGCAGAGTATTCCAGAGGTACTTGTATTTTCCACAACAGCTGCATATGCTATTCCAGTGTAGTCATTATTAATTTGTTTTCGGAACTGAGCTACCGTGGGAGGAACACTAACCATAAGGAAGAGCTGTGCTTTTTACCTTCAAGCTTTGCGCTTTACATCGTGTCAGGAGGTCTTAGAATAAATTGTTCTACACAACTACACTGCGTAGCTCATTCTACAGACCACTGGGCAGTGTTGGCATTGAACGACTAGCTGGGAAATTGATGAAAATTTCTCTAAATCTATATAAAAGAGAGTGAATCCCCTATCCTGCTATACTGCTTGTACAAATACACCTCCACTTGACCATGAGGAGTATAAAAGGGGTAATTTCCATTGATGTAATGAAAGGGATTGAAATTTTCACCCTCCAAGAGTAACCCAGGATAGCTGACCCACCCTAAACTTGAGGGAGTTTGTTCACACAAGGGTCTGCCTAACCCAGCAATAGGGGGAAGCTGGGAGGACTTTTCCCAGGTCTGTTCCTTCATAAATGAGTCACTTTGGGTAATTTGCTTATTTTCTCTGTTTCTCTATTTCTTCTTCAGAAAAATGGGATTTATGATAATAATGTCTACCTCAGACAGTGTGTGAGATTACTAATGTAACATGCTTAGAATTGGCAGTGACACATAGCAGGCATTCCACTTAATGTTGTGCTACAGTCATCTTTACTTCTTCTTCTTTTTTTTTTTTTTTTTTTTTTTTTTTTTTTTTTTTTTTTTTTTTTTTTTTTTTTTTTTGAGACAGAGCCTCACTCTGTTGCCCAGGCTAGAGTGCCGTGGAGTCAGCCTAGCTCACAGCAACCTCAAACTCCTGGGTTCAGGTAATCCTACTGCCTCAGCTTCCCGAGTAGTTGGGACTACAGGCATGTGCCACCATGCCCGGCTAATTTTTTCTATATATATTTTTAGTTGGCCAATTAATTTCTTTCTAATTTTAGTAGAGATGGGGGGTCTCACTCTTGCTCAGGCTGGTTTCGAACTCCTGAGCTTAAGCAGTCCTCCCACCTCAGCCTCCCAGAGTGCTAGAATTACAGGCGTGAGCCACCGCGCCCCGCCCATCTTTACATCTTAAAACAATCTTGGCAGAAAATCTTTGAATCACAATTTTACAAATAAATAGCCTCTACTGCCCTTTTACTTGATAATCTTGCCTGATAATTCACCGAAAAATAGATCCCATTAGGTGAGAGCTGAATTGTCTTCTGAACACCCAATAAAATAATATGCACAGGTGTGCACCTTTCTTTCCCACCTTACATTAGGAAATTTGTCCACCCTCTTGGAAGAAAAGCCAAACCCTAAGTAAAAAATTTAGATTGCATCCAATCTCATTTTTAAAGGATTTGTTCTGTTGGTTGCAGCTTTCTTTTCAGCATCTTCAAATTCTAACTTTTCATTTAATCATTTCTTCAGTATGTTATTTGTCACAGAAAGACAGGTTCCTTATGGCTCCACCTATACGAAGTCCCTAGAATAGTCAAATTCATACAGACAGTGGAATGGTGATTGCCAGGGGCTGGGGGAGGAGCGAATAGGGAGTTTAAGGGGTACAGAGTTTCAGTTTTGCAAGATGGAAAGAGTTCTGGAGATTGGTTGCACAACAAAGTGAATGTAAAAAAAAAAACCCATATATAAGTGTGTGTGTGTGTGTGTGTGTGTGTGTGTGTAGCACTGATAGTGAAATCGTATTATCCAGGATCTTGTTCAACATCCCCAAAACAAAGCCTTAATCTTCCCCTCTTTCACCCCTCTGTTCTTTAACCCCAGAGATTATATCACGTGGCAAGATGTACAGACGTACAGAGCCAGTGTCTGTAGGCGCTCAACTTCTTATTGTAGGATTTTTGGCTATCAGATGAGATTCCTACAAAGAATATGTGTTATTTTTTAAAGCAAAGGACTTAGTCTTTCTTCCTAAGTCTGACCCACGTGCAAATCATTTCGGGACTCCAAAGGGGCTGGGGAGAAGGGAACCCGGATTCTTGACGACCTCACCCCAGCCTTCCCGCTGAGCGGCGCATTTTCCGCTGTCCTGTCCCCAACTTCGCGCCCTTAGAGACTCCGTAGCCCTGGGGAGGTGGATTTTCCCGAATGACAAAATAAGGATTCTGGAACCCCGTGGCTTTCGCTTCTTGCCTGCTGCATTCACTTTCACATTTCGCTTTGAATAGCCGCGTCACAAAAGGGACAAAGTTCTCATGGTCAATCCTAGGCCTTAATAAAAACGGAGTAAATAAACAAATACTGTTTGTTACACCTGACAGCTGCTGAAATT